CAGCCTGTTCTACAAAATGAGTGCAGGACAGCCAAGGCTACACAGAGAAACCCTATCTCGAAAAACAAAACAAAAGTTAAACAGTAGCCTTTGATGTCACATTGGACACTTGGATTCATCCTCATACTGAGCTTTCCATTTTCATGGAGTCAGTCTCTTTTCTCTCCACTCCAAATAATTTTAAAACTCATTCCAGAACTCCAGGCTAAGCTTATTTTCATCAATTTTCCTGGTATGAATTAAACAGATCCATTGAGTAGGCTTAGTATGGTTCAAGCCCAGCTCTTTCCACTCACAGCATTGTAACAGGAAATTCCGATGCCAAAATATTTTAATGATTGGTGTTTGGAAACAGTGTCCTGAGGTATTTTCCCCCAAGGCACCATTTCACTTTTTAGAAAAATAAATGAAAGCTGCCTACCATATGCCAATACTTTGAAATTAGCTAGCAGTAATTGGCATATTGTTTTCCACCCCCCAGAGGCTTGGGGGCTTTGTTGTTATTTGTTTGTTTGTTTTTTGTTCCTGTGGGAAAAAATTGCCACATGTTTCTGCTTTTTTTTTTTTAAGGAAGTTAATAGAGCAAGTATATCTGTCTCCCAAGGATTCTCTCATTTTGGCAGCTATTTTGAAGACAGGCTTCGGTCCTCATCGAGACCAAAGTTATACAGTGTTTATTTATATCCTAGCTGCAACCACACTCTGTCTGGTATGAATATAAATCAAAAGGGTTTGAACTGCAATTATATCCCATATACGGGAGAAGCTCTCCCACTGGGATGAGGGAGGGACCCAGTCTTTCCCCACATTTAGTTGAAGCCACTTCAGGACAAGCAAGGGCCCACAGCTCAGGACGAGCTCTCAGTCTCCTGCGGGCTCCCAGGACAGAGAGCATCGTCCTACGAACGTCGCGGTCTTGCAGCATGCAGAGCTTTGGCAGGGACCCACCAATGGCTACTGTAGATGAAGTCTCCCTGCAGGGGCAAGAAACTGGTGCATTACTGAGTAGTGACTTGCTCCTTCAGGAGCTGGGCCTTTATTGAAACCGTATTACTAATCTCAGCCCTCGGGGAGGGAAAGGCAGGAGGATCTCTGTGAGTTGGAGGCTAGCCTAGTCTACAGGGTGAGTCTGGGACAGCCAGGGCTACACAGAGACACCCTGTCTCAACAAACAAACAAAGGAAAAGAAGAAAAGTCATAAATTCCCCACATTTCCTACATCTCTGTGTCATTTCCCTTTAGTCACATCTATTGTCCCCAGACACATCTTTGGTCTCCGTACTTTATGCTACCTGGGAGTCTTGCTCTCTTGAATCTCAATTTTTATTCCCCCTGGAGTTCAATCCAGGGTCTTGTGTGTGCTAGGTGTGATGGCTGGAGTCAGAGTGTCCTCCACAGGTCTGTGTGCCTGAACACATGGTCCCCAGATGGTAGCTGTGGCTGGGGAATCTTAGGGGGTGCAGCCTTGTTGGAGGAAGTAGGCCACTGGAGGCAGGCTTTGAGAGTTTAAAGACTGCGCCATTTCCGGTTCTTCTTCTTCTTCTTCTTCTTCTTCTTCTTCTTCTTCTTCTTCTT